AAGGGGAATTGGAGGGGATCTCTACTCTAGCAATTGGTGGACAAAACGTTTGTTGTTCACGGGTGCTTCTCAAACCCTCCCCCCCCAACATTTTGCCACTCATAGAAGTAGAAGTATTTTGTCGGCAGAAGTGCTAACAAACAGCGTTCACAGGCGCCGGCCTTTAGCAACCGGGTTGTGTCGACGCATCCTTGTTGCTAAAAGCTGCCTAGTGAGAGTCAGGACTCCTGGGTTCTGTTTTGACCTGTGGGAAGGGAGTGGGGTCTAGTGGCTGGAGCCAGGTTACGTGGGGTCCTGTTGATGTCGTGTATCACCGTGAGCAGACTCCAGCCCCAAACTGGCATATTCGCTGCATATTCAGTCTGCCACTGAGCTCATTAGTGTTCGCCTCCTTACTTCCGTACCACACTCTGGCCCAGAGCTCGGATTTCAGCTGTTACCTGAGTGCGGGGGACTGAAGGGAGGAATCATGCGGTCAGGGCAGCCCACAGACACGCTGGGCCCCTCAGAAAGGCAGGGGGCTCTGTGCTCCCAGAAGGCGCTGTGCCAGCCCCCGTGCCCAGCTCTTTGAGCCCCCTGGAGCACACTGTGCAGGGGGGTCCAGGCACACTGCTGGTGTAGTAGCGGAAGCGGCATTCGGGGCCCCGGGTCCTTTAGAATTGCCCCCTTTGCCCCCCACATCAGCGACCCTGCATCTAGTGCATTTTACTGACAGTTTTGACCAAATGGAGCTGGATCAGTGGGAGGCAGGGTGGGACCCTGCTGTGATATTAAATACACAGGCCACAGGTAGTACGTTTTTCAACCTCTGTGAATACAAGTCTGCTAGGCTTAGTGATTTCCATAAACCTTACGACTGTGGCAGCAGCCAAAGCGAATCACTTCGTAATGCTCCTTTTCACTTCCCTCGGTAGGACTGGACTCGCGAGTTTTAAAAGATGTCGCTGTGTCCCTGCGCAAAGCTTTCACTCTCCTGTGTGGCACAGCCAGGGGTTTTGGCCCCATTGTTGTTTGGATCTGGGGCCTGCGTTTCGTCGGAGCCTTTATTCGGTGTTTTTAAATAGTTTCCATGCAGCTTGCAGGCATTTCACTCGTGGGACTCTTCCTTTCCATTTCTGTGTGACTTGCTTCCTCACTGGTGCGCCTCCCCCCGTGCCCACTCTGCAGTTAAATACTCCTGTGGTGGGTTTTCCGATATTTCTTCCTCCCCATCCCACAAGTGCGACACGCAGTCACCACCTGGTCGGGGGCTGGTAGTGCCTTCCCCTGCTCTCCTCAGGCGTGGAATTTCTACCCACAGAGATACTCACTGCGCCTGATTCACGTAAGAATCCCACTATATGTGATGCCGGGCCATTCTCGCCCCGCCCCCCCAGCCCAGCCCACTCTCATTCCTGTGTGTCTTGTTCCCTGGTGTGACGGTGGCCCATTGATTATCATTGTTCCGTCACGTTTCTATGATGCCTGTTACATCCGTACCATGCAATACCAGGCGCTCAGCTTGACCCGTCTTAGTGCATAGACGCCTCGCCTCTCTGTACAAGCACTTACAGAATGTGTTGGTATTTAGCTGTCTAGCCCCCATTAATAAGGCCTCTGTGTGTCCGTACCGTGCACTCCTCCGCTCCTGTTGGCTTTCCCTGGCCCTTGGTTTAAAAACACCTGAAAAACGACCTTTTGAATTTTCCAAGCCAGCATCTGGTTCTGTTTTAGCTTCAGTGGAGCCCATCCTGCCTGTGCAGCCTCCTCCTTCCCCGCATGGTTCCCCAGTTCCCATCAGACCTAACCCCTCCTCCCAGCACCATCGTCTCACCCACGCATTGAGGCCCTGCAGTTCTGCTTCTCCAGCTGGCCCAGTGCGTGGAGCTGGAAGCATGTCAGAGGATGCTCCCATGGAGCTCCTGGACTTGAATCTCTGACCTAGCAACCTAAATTTGGCCCTCTGCCTTTCCCTGCATCACTGGTACCCACCTGCACCACGACCAGCGGCTCGTCCCCTGCAGCACACACAAGTCTGTCTAGATATCTCAGCGGGGCCTTCGCGCCCAGCCGGCAACTCAACATGCGATTCTCCCACTCATCACAACCCAACTCTCTACACCTCTAATAACCCCTTTCCTGTCGCCTGTCTCATCCTAACAGGGTCTGCTCCCCAGAGGGGTGTCCGCAGCACGCGAGGGAACCACCACACCTTCTGGGCCAGCTATGGCATCGTTTCCCTCTGTTCTCCTTCCCTGGGACGTTCACCCTTCCCAACAGCACAGAGGCTGCCAGACGGGGCTGGGCCCGCTCTGCTGGGCCCCGGAAAGTCTGGTCTGTGTCCCTGTCTGTCTTCCTTAGCCCCTCCACTCCAGCCAGCCTCAGGGTCTGAGGGCCAGGCACATGCAGAGCGCTTGCCCACGAAGCAATGCATGCTGCACTCCATGCAATACACTGGACGCCCCCGGCCCTGCCGCTGGCTGGCTGCCTGCACCACGTGGGCTGTTGCTGGAGGGAGAAGTTGTGGTATTTGTTCTCTGAGTGGCTGGTTTTCTTCTGCGTTTGTTTGGGCACGGGGCCTTACTTGCAGCAGGGCCGATGGCCTCGCCCAGGCTTTGGGCAAAGCAGGAGGGGCCCTGCCCTGCGCCCCCAATGCCGCTCCCAGAGAGCGCTGTCCCGCCCCAGGGAGCCCTTCGCACTGCCCAGAGCGCGCACGGCCAGGAGCCACGAGCCCTTTGGTATCGCCAGGCCGCTGGGCAGCTCCCCCTCGCAGGGCCTGGCCATTGGCCTAAGTTTAGAGAATGTTTATGGGGTGTGTCTGCCTCTCATGCACCCTCATTAGATAGACAGAGAGAGAGAGAGAGAGATGGAGGTGTATGGAGATAGATAGATAGATAGATAGATAGATAGATAGATAGATAGATAGATAGATAGATAGATAGATAGATAGATAGATAGATAGATAGATAGATAGATAGATAGATAGATAGGCAGGCAACTCCATGAGAGACAGATGAGTTTTATTATCATTTCTGTTTTCGGGATGGAGAAACTGAGGCCTGGGTGGAAGCACCGGTGACGTGAATTGTTCGTGTTTGTACTGACTTGTGGGCTCTGCTGTGCCAGGCACTGCACAAACACATGGTCAGAGACCATCCCCGACCGGAAGAGCTGGCAAGGCTAAGAGATACAAGATGGGAAGGGAAACTGAGGCACGGAGCAGGGACGTGATGTGCTGAGGGTCATGTGGGGGCTCATGAGGAACAGAGCTCAGGGGCCCGAGTCTGCAGGGAAGAGCAGTGACACGTATGGAGAAACTGCAACTCTGGGCCCCAGGAGTTCTGGTTCCCTCACTCCCCTGTTGCGCTAACCACTAGGCAGTCAGTGGTGTTCAGCTGCAGGGTTAAAGGAGAGCGAGCAGCTGGCCAGGGAGAGTGGAAGGAAGGGGACAGGGAATCCCGGGGGGAGCAGAGTCCAGAGCGGGCTGCCTGCAGTCGACGGGTCACGCCCAGAGCCGTCTGGTTGCCAGTGGAAACCAGACATGAGGTAATTGCCGGATGAACTTAAACTTGGGAGACTTAGGGAGCGGGACAGTCAGGGCAGCAGCGATTCTCTCCAGGTCTTTCCAGGCCAGCGGAGGATCGTCGACCGGGGGCAGAGAACCCCGCGCTGGACACGGGCCCCAGCCCTAGCGCCACAGGCCAGGCCCGGCCCAGCAGGGTCAGCAGGACGTCCGGCACAGGGCAGGAGCCGGGGACTCCTGTGGTTAGGGAGGCCCTGATGGGGGCAGGTACAAGGTGAGCAGCTGGAGGCGTCTGGGGCAGCGCTAGATGCTGGAGCCAGTTCTGCCCCACAACACGCAACCGTGGCAGCGTGTGGGGCCAGCTAGAGCCTGTCGGAGCAGTAGGAGGGAGGCACTAGCTGCCTCCTCCCGCCCCTTGGGACACCGCAATGTGACAGACCCCAGCAGCTCCCAGCGTGTGTGGGTGGGGGGCTGGGGGGGCGCTGGGTCAGGTCAGGCCTGATGCTTAGCCAGGGATCTGGCGGTGACCTGGAAATCCCTGCTGGTGTCTGTGGGTGCCCCACAGATCAGCTCCGCAGTGGCCGGTGCGGAGGCCAGGCAGGCAAGCAGAGGGAGCCGGGCCCAGACACTCAGCGTGGGTCAGCGGAGCCACGCGTGGGCTCGGCGGGGGGGAACGAGGAAGGCGGCACCCTGCAGGCTGGGCACTGGGGCCACCAAGGCTAATGCAGCCTGGCTGGACGGAGGGGTGCTGCGTGGGGGGGATGTTACCGCCGTGTCCAGCCCTGGCGAGACGTGTCCGGGTGTCGCCCACTGTCTGGGGCGGCAGAGGGGCGTGCCAGGTTTGGGGTCAGGAACTCTGCCCTAGAGAGACGCTCGGCATCCGCAGCTTGGCGCCTCCATTTCCCCACCTGTCGAATGCTTGAGCAGGAAGCTCCTGGCCCGGGCCGTGGCTCCGTGCGTGCTGGGGGGGCTAAGGCAGCGCGGCATGAGAACAGGAGGGAAGGGAGGAGAGACGGTCCCGGGGCACGGGGTGAGCTCGCTGCATGGGCCACAGAGCAGGGCACGCTCTGGTGCTTGCGCCTCCCTGCCTGGCAGCAGCCAGGCCATCCCACACATGCCCCACGTTTTGGAGAGGTGAATGCAGACGGGCACAGGCGCTGAGTAGCACCAAGCAGCTGTATACCCCTGGAACGCTGAAACCGAGGCACAGAGCGTACGTGATTTGCCTGAGGTGTCCCCTCCGTCCCAGACCAGTGCCCTCCCCCTTGCCCTCGCTCAGAGATGGCAGCAGCCGGCTTTGCAGTGCTCACGAGCCCCAAGGTGGCCATTAACACCTGCCATACAGCAGCTCTGGGCCCAATTCAAACGAGCAAGCGTCGGGGCCAGATCCCTTTGCTTCTAAAACTGAGGCCGAGTCTCGTGAGCTGCGGGGGAAGGGGTCTATATGCAAATCAGTAACTTTGACATCTGTCTTTTTTTTTTCCCTTTCTATCCTCAGTCCTGGTACCTGGGATAATCGCAGCTGCCCCGTCCCGTCGCCTCCCTTCTCCTCTGCTTTGGGCATCCCGAGAGGAAAACAAGTAACACAGCACCAGGCCCAGTCTTTCAGTGAAGATGGAGAGAGCGAATTAAGGAAGAGGATGACGACAAATACAAAACAAGATAACCACACACAAGACGTTACAGGGAGGAAGGAAGGAAGGAAGGAAAAGGTTCAAACTTTTTTAAAAAGAAAAACAAAATCCTACAGACAAAACAGCAATCCACGCGTGTGACGCTGCAGAGTCCCATTGGCCAGAAACACTAGTCGCCCTGCCGGCTGCCTTCCTGGGGAGAGAACGGACACAGCTCATGACAGGTCTCTTCCGACAGCAGCAGCAGCAGCAGCGCCGCTGGAGTCTCGCCTGCAGTTCTCCAGCGGGTTGTATATGCAAAATTGTCTTTTGACTTTCTCTTTCGTTCTCGCCTCTCGTGAGTAGAAAAGAACAAATTTCCCAGGCTCCCCCAGCCCACCCGAGTCCCCCCCCCCTCAGCAGACTTTCTCCTTTCCGGGAGGGGTTGGGGCTGGGGTCGAAGAGCCCCAGCGTTCGGTTGTTTCTGAACTCGGAGGCGCTGGGGGTGGGGAGCTGGCAAGCTCTCCTTAGCTGTCCTGCTCCCCGTTCCACCCCCGACGATGCCTCCAGCCAGCTGCTGGCCCGGAGTTCAGACGCTGCGTGCGCCTTCTCTTTCTTTTAAATACTCTATGCCATTAAATGCTCTTCTTTCAGGCGGGGAGCGGAGCCCTCCTGGGTCCTGGCACTGCTCTCAGTGCACTAGAGGAGTGGCCTTGTGGGGGAGCGGGGTGGTGGGAATCCTGCCCTGGCTCAGCTGCCGCTGGGCATTCCGGCTGCAGAAGGGGGGTACTGGCAGATGGCTGCAGTGCCCTGATCTGAGCTCGGGGGCCGTGTACCTGGGCTATCTCTACCTAGAGCCTGTGTTTCCAGGGGAGGAGCAACCGGGAGCAGGGCACAGGCTTTCAGGGGAGACTTGACACGAGCCAGCGCTGCAGAGAGGAGTCGGGCACGCGCCCCCCACTGGACTGTCCCAGTCGCAGAGATAAAGCTGCTGTTCAGATTGGCGCTCGCAGGCCCTGGGAGCCGGTTGCACATCGAGGGGGCAGGAATTTATGAATTACCAATTGGCTGAAACAGCTGAATCCAAAACTCTAAATCTCTCCTCTGGGAATGATTCTCACGATGGTGTGGGCCATGCCCCAGGTGCCTTCCCCTGTGCCGGGCCCTGCCAGCTGGAACCGGCCGGGAGAAAATCCCTCTGGCTCTCTGCAGTGACAGGCCAGCCTCCTGCTCCCGCGTGGCTGTGGCGTGGCTCTGCCAAAGTGGGCGGGGGGCTACTCTGCAGGGCTTTGCCAAGGTAGCAAGCTGCACTGGTAAACCTTCTGTCCTGGAGCATGCACCTCAGAGCTCCTGTTTTCAATCCCCACCACTCCCCTTGCGGGGGGCGAGGCGGGGCTGGGCTCAGCTGCCAGGGCAGGGCCTGGGAGTCGTGTGGACCGAGGCTTCTCGCGTGGCTCTGGAAAGTTAGGGTGGGACAGGCGGGAGGAGGGGAGGGGAGTCGGAGCGGGGTTTCCCGGCGCACCTGTGTACAAAGAGCTATGCACACCTGTGGACAGGTACCATGTAGACTAGTGGCGAGATGGTTGCAATTGTGTTGCACATTTTGTAGGAAATGCACTTTTAAGAGGGAATGATACAAAAAGAGCAACAGGAGGAGACTGGAGCTCCCGGCACTGGCTTGCTAGGAGACTTTGTTTTTTAAAGAGAGGATTTGCTTCCTGATTGGATGAGCCACAGATGGGACCCCCAATTGTGGGGCTGGAGTAGGCCTTGGATCCCTCGCTTGGGTAGGCAACTGCCCTAAATTCAAAGGGGTGGGGGGTAGTGACACCACCGGGCTCCACCCAGCTCAGACCCCTCCCGCCCATTTCCTTCTTCCTGGTCAGTCGCTCCTCAGCCCCCACCGCCAGCAAAGCCAGCTGGGAGGCAGAATGCGATTCCTGACAGCTTCAAGTGCCTGGATTTTCTACTGCCGTCCCCGGGGCATTGGCGAGCCCAGGGCATCAGAGCGCATGGAGGTGCACATCTCGGCGTTCCCCTGTCCTCTGCAGCACCCACCCACCTGCCAGGCAAACACGGTTCCCTCCAGGGGGTCCCAGGACACCAGTAAGACCCTGGGGAGAGAACTGGCCCAGCGTGAGCTGCTCTTGAGTTACACAGCGCTCCTCCGCGTGCAGACGCTCCCAGGCAGCCTGCGTCCCATGGGTCCTGCATCCTCAGAGCCACGCCCAAGCTGGGGTTACCTGGCGAGACCAGCCGGAAAGCCAGATTCCACTACGTGAGCTGGATCATAGCCTGGCTCGGCGTGGGACAAACCAGTTCGGCCTGGCGCTGACAGACTCCGCCCACCGGCCCAGGGCCCAGCCGTACATCATCAGGACGGATTCCCCGGCCAGGCAGCCAGCCCACGGCTGGGGCGCCGCAGCCAGGCCCTGCTGGAGGGCTGCCTCCGAGCGAACCCTCTGGCAAGTGCCGGCCATGCTGCAGCAGAAGAGGAAGGGCCCACTGGCCGTGCCCTTTGGCAATGGGAAGTGTGAGCAGGAAAGGGGGGCTCTGCGCCCTGGAATAGCCCGGGAGGCGCCTGCCGGGGGCACTGGTGCTACAGGACAAAGGCACCTGCACATTATCAGCCTCTGTCCATTCACGGCAGAGCCGTGCAAATCACCCAGCCACCGCTGTCCTTCCTCCCTTGCCCATCCCTTGCTGCCAGGCCCAGGCAGCCCCTTGGAGCTGTGCCTGGGCCCCGTAGCAGAGTGCCTGACAGGCCCTGTGGCTCACTTCCTCGCCAGCTCCTGTCCATCCCTCCCAGATGAAAATGCTGGATTTCCACCTCCTGCCTGGGCCCGCAGCCGGCCAGGTTCAAAGTGCTGCAGGGTTTGGTGTGTGGCTAGAAAGCCCAGCACCCGGCGGTGCCCACGGGGAGCCCAGCACCTGGCAGTGTCCACGGGGAGCCCAGCACCTGGCAGTGTCCACGGGGAGCCCAGCACCTGGCAGTGTCCACGGGGAGCCCAGCACCTGGCAGTGTCCACGGGGAGCCCAGCACCTGGCAGTGTCCACGGGGAGCCCAGCACCTGGCAGTGTCCACGGGGAGCCCAGCACCTGGCAGTGTCCACGGGGAGCCCAGCACCTGGCAGTGTCCACGGGGAGCCCAGCACCTGGCAGTGTCCACGGGGAGCCCAGCACCTGGCAGTGTCCACGGGGAGCCCAGCACCTGGCAGTGTCCACGGGGAGCCCAGCACCTGGCAGTGTCCACGGGGAGCCCAGCACCTGGCAGTGTCCACGGGGAGCCCAGCACCTGGCAGTGTCCACGGGGAGCCCAGCACCTGGCAGTGTCCACGGGGAGCCCAGCACCTGGCAGTGTCCACGGGGAGCCCAGCACCTGGCAGTGTCCACGGGGAGCCCAGCACCTGGCAGTGTCCACGGGGAGCCCAGCACCTGGCAGTGTCCACGGGGAGCCCAGCACCTGGCAGTGTCCACGGGGAGCCCAGCACCTGGCAGTGTCCACGGGGAGCCCAGCACCTGGCAGTGTCCACGGGGAGCCCAGCACCTGGCAGTGTCCACGGGGAGCCCAGCACCTGGCAGTGTCCACGGGGAGCCCAGCGTCCCACGGGACCCATGGGGAGCCCAGCGCCCCACGGTACCCACGAGGAGCCCAGCACCCGGCGGTGCCCACGGGGAGGCCTGCATCGCTGTTCCCCAGCCACAATCACCATCAAGCAATGGGGAGAGTCCAGAAGGCGAGTGAACATCAAGGAGCCAGCCTGTCTCCCCCCATCCCCACCAGCATGGGGCACTGTCTAGAGCAGGCCCCACACCTCCAGCCTCCTCACCGGCCCAGCCAGAGCAGCAGTGCCCCCGCCCCGGGCCGCGCAGACAGCGGGAAAGGAGGAAGAGGACGGTAGAGGACGATGTCTGAAGAGGAAGGCTGTGAATGGGCACGAAGGCGCGAGGGAACTGGAGTGCCCTTTGCAGCAGGAAACGCGGGGCCCCCACAAGCCATTCACATGCCGCGTCCCGGCAGAGAGGCAACAGCATCCGCCTCGGCCCTGCAGCCCTGGGCTGGCCCCACTCCGCCAGGACGTCCCCAGCTCATTCCAGCTCCGGCTCATCCTCCCCTGCGGCCCCGGGCGCTGCTCCCTGAGCCCGTCGGAGTGAATCGGCAGAGACCCCTCCACAGCCCAGGATGGACCCAGTGGGACTGGAAGTGGCACCAGACACTGATCACCTGTGACAATCATTTCTGAACCCCCGTGCCCATCGCAACAGCTTCCTGCTCAGCGCAGTACCCCTCCCTCCTGCTCTCCAGCTAGTCCCATGCACTCAGTCCTCTGCCTGTCACCATCCACCCCCTCTTCCCATCCATCCATCCATCCATCCATCCATCCATCCATCCATCTATCTATCTATCTATCTATCCATCTACCTATCTATCTATCTATCCCCCCACACCCCCTCTATCTATCTATCTATCTATCTATCTATCTATCTATCTATCTGTCCCCATACACCCCCTCTATCTATCTATCTATCTATCTATCTCTCTGGGTACGTCTACACTAGCCCCCTAGATCAATCTAGGGGTCTAGTGTAGACGTTCTCTCTCTCTCTCTCTCTCTCTCTCTCTCTCTCTCTATCTATCCATGGAGCTGTATGAACACACATTAAGAGACAATTCTTGCCTCAAAGATTTTTCACACTAGCTAGACAAAATAGATGAAGGGGTGTGAGGGGAAATGACTTGTCCTAGGTCATACACTTGATTAATGGTAGGACCAGGTTCCTCACACCTAGGCCAACATGGTATCTATTAGACCAGATTGCATTTCCCTTGTAAAATCCTCTTTTAAAATGCCTCAGGAGAGGTGTGGGGAGAATATCCAAAGGAGTCCTTTGATTTCCTGAGCACCCATGTGTGGGCCCTGGCCCTTGCTCCCTTCTTGCTGGGTCAAGGAAGTTATAGTGTGGTGAGGCTGTGGGCATGTTCCTAGGAAAGACAGGATGTCTGCCTCCCCATCACCCAGAGAGCATCTTCAGCCTTATGGCCCCAATGCCTCAGGTGCTTGAGAACGGTCACTGAGCTTCACGGACCATGCACTCTTTTCCACTCACAGACATGCTGAAAGCACTGCTGCCTCAGCACTATGCCATATCACCTGGCAGCTGAGAGACAGAGTCACAGACTTTTGCCTTAGAAGGCAGGATGCTCTGTAGGTGCTACTAGATCATCTCCAAAGGGCATCCTCCTCAGGTTAACAAGAGCATCCTTATGATGGTGGAGCTTGGAAAGTCACTGGCTGATGCACTTTGAGCCTTACTCTGCCCTTACCTTTGTAGTATGC